CAAGACGGGAGAAACGCAGAGTCTCTTCAAAGATGATGTTAGCACATTCCCATGTGAGTTATCCGGGACACTGGATGCAGTGAATGACAGCTGTCTAACTGAGCACACACTCCATTAGTGTTCTGGCTGCTGCAGGAGGGGAGTGCTGAATGAGCACATTGCATTTGCCCTTCCGATGCACGGGAAGGCTGGGAGATTAGGAATTTTCTATTTAAAATGGGGAACACCAGAATCCAAGCCACATGGTAGGCTTTCACCTCCACCAGAGGCTCGCTTTCTTCTGTGGGTGGAAAAGGCCTTGACTGATACAAATTCAGAGCTCGTCCCAATCCTGTCCCTGCCCCCACTGTAACTTTTGAACAAGTAATTTCTTCTCTCTGACATGTTTGTGGTAGGCAGTGGAGGTTTTCCTATTTCTCTGACTGCAAGGCAGTGATGAGAATTCCCACCTTCCCAAGGGTCACTGACAGCACAGATGTCAGTGTTACCTTAAGGGGGACTAAGTGATGCTTCAGCCTCAGAGATAACTCAACTTTTATGGAGGTCAGGAAGGATTTTTTGTGTTAGTATAATGCTGTGTCCTTGGCTGGAAACATGAAGGGGCCTCAGAAAACAGGAAGTTAGAGACTGTCATCTTTCAGGGACAGCATATTTCATTCCCAATTCCTGAGAGCAGCAGGAAAAGCGTGTGTGTGTTTAAAATCAGAACCAGTAAAAGTGTTTAGTCTCCAAGTAACTCGTTAGCTATGTGCTTTGTAATCTCCAAGTCTTTTCCCAGCTCGTTGACTGTGTCCTTTTCCCTAGTGATCGCTGCCAGGCCTTTCACTGTACCCTACCTGACAGCTCTTCTCCCCTCTGAGCTGGAAATGCAGCAAATGGAAGAAACGGATTCATCTGAGCAGGATGACCAGACAGACACGGAGAACCTCCCCCTGCACATGAGCACGGTATGCCCAGCCTGAGAGATCAAGGTCTCTTGGGCCCAACTTTCTTACACTTACGAAACCTCGCTCTTTGCCTGTCTTCCTTGCAGCTGGGCAGAGGGGGTGGGAAACGCAGTGGGTTGTGTTTTACCAGGTGTAAGTGACTGAACAGTGTCATGGTTCTTTAACTTCCTACAGCATGCAGTGCAAAGGGAGCTCAGATCCTGAGCTTTCAGTACAACCTTAATTTCAGTGTTGGGGGAGAGGGGGTTGTTCTAGAATCCCAGACTGCTCCCGAAGGCCATCCGCCTGTGTTAGGAGTCCTCACCTTTAATGCAGCTCCTGTTCTGCTGTTTATCTTAGCTGTTGATGATCTGCTTTGCCCATAGGTTATGTGGTTTGAACTTCTAAGCCTTGTTTAGCCTAACTTTGGTTGTTACACTTTTGGTTGGTTTTTTTCTTGTGGCAGGATGATTCAGGACCTGAAAAGGAGAATGCTTCAGTGTTACAGCAGAACACCTCCCTGTCAGGCAGTCGGAATGGGGAGGAAAATATGATAGACAATCCCTACCTCCGGCCGGTGAAAAAGCCCAAGATCCGCAGAAAGAAGTGAGGTGTAGCCAGCTGGCTGCTGAGAGGAAGAGAAACCCGGGGGGGTTCACCCCCGCTGCTATGGGTGAGAGGCGTGGAACAGGACAGGAGAGGCAATCCAGCTGAGTGGCAGAAGCAGAGGAACGATCTCTCTGCATAGTGAACTACACTCTTACCCTGGTTTGCGATGCTTTTCCCCTCCGCTCTCCCGCTGACTCGGAACGGTCAACGGTCAGTTGCTGTAACAACGTGGGTTACGGATGGGATTTGTCTCCTTTACTTTGGTTTGTTCTCACTGTCGGCAGGATTTACTCTCTGAAGAGATGGGGGACACAAAGGGTCTTGCTGCTCGGCCAGAGCCTCTGTAGAGCCTTCCCAGCAGGCTGTACAGAACACAAAGGCATAATTGGTTTGGGGCTGTCTCGCAGGCTAGAAGAGAAACTTCTGCAATCAACCCTGCCTGGCTTTATAATCTAAGGAGCATGTACTAACAGAGACAGAAAAATCCCAGAGAGGTTTCTTTCTTTGGATTCTTGGCAGGTAAAAGCAAACAGACTTTCCTTTTATAAACTGAAGGCGTCTGATGTGTTGGTGAGAGAGTGAAGTGTAAATACGGAGTGTTCTCTTCTCACCTTGCTGGCTGCAGCTGCACTTTTGACTTAAAAGTGCTAAGTGTGGTGTTTACCCCCTTCTGCTTCCAGATTATTTTTTAGCAGTATGAATGGCAAAAGATTTCACAGCTCCTCCAGGGTATTTTTCAGTTCTATTGTTTAGTTTCAACACGGCACAACTCCTTTGAGAGTTCACGCCTTCACCAGCTGTTTTGAAAGATGCTGTGCTGGAAAACTTGGGATATGGAATAAAGCTGTATTGGTTGCAGCCCGCAAGGCCGTGCTACTGATGGTGGGGTTTTATTTTGCCCATTCTCAAATACGGGCTTTTATCAACAGGAGTTGCTCTTTTTTTCCCCCTTTATTTACCCAGAGGAGACAACTATTTCAGCTGTGAAAATAACTGGTTATAGGAGTATTGTAATTGTTAGCTGGTTCTGGAGGGCTTTGCTTTAATTTGCCTTCACTTGGGCAAAAAATGGGTTAAATTTCTTTGACAAAAGCCTGCTGTAGTTTGGTCCAGTCTCCTATGCATCTCTTCTGGATGAAAAGGTGGTGCTGGGAGGGGCAGCAAAGACTGCCAGGCAGGTCATGGTTTCCTAGAGCAGCAGCTGAATGCAAGGAGTCTGTTGCAGTCACCGCAGGGACCAGAGTTACATGTGTACAGGTTCACCTCTGTTAGTTAAGGCATCCCCCAAGGCCTCCCTCTTCCCCTGTCACCCAGGGAGGAGGAAGACAAAATGCAGTGATTGTTCCAGTGAGAACAGAAAAAAAATTTGAAATGGTGTCTCTAGCAAAAAAAGTCCTGCATGTGCCGTTGTTGCTGGTGCCTTGGTTGTACAGAATAAAAAATGTACAGAGACATTGTGTATGTATGTATATATAAAAATTTGTATCTTTTTTTACTTGGATGAAGCAGTTTTTGTAACAAAGAAATCCCTCGCTGGGTGGAAAGAAAATTGTAATTTTTATGTTCATAATAAAAGAAATTTTATCTCCTGCAAGCCAAACTGGCCGAGTCCTTCAAGTTTCATGAGTGGACAAGCACCTGAATGGAGCCTGAGAGTGTTTTCAGTGGGATCTACAAGCAGTAGGCGGTCTTGTCCTTCCCTTTGCATCTCTTCCTTTCTCCCTAGCAACACTTGATAGCTGAAAAGGTTGGGAAATTTCCAACAAAAACTTTTGTTCATTAGAAATACGTTCCGTGAGGACAAAGCATCTTTGGGAATACCATCAGTTTTGCAAAAGCTTTAGTGGAAGGTTTCTTCAATCGCTGGTGGAGCATATGGTTGAGAAAGACCAAGGCCAGGCTATATGAGGCATAGAGCAACCTGGTCTAGTGGAAGGTGTCCCTGCCCATGGCAGGGGGTGGGACTGGGTGGTCTTTAAGGGCCCTTCCCACCCAAACCATTCCATGACTGCAGAATCACAGTTACTGCTTGCTTTCTTTTACATCTTTTATACAGGTATTTTTCTCCCGTTCTGAAAACCATGACAGATGGAGGTGAAGGATGCGGTATGATCCATGAATACAATAGTGAAGCCTCAAGCAGCCATAAATCCCAGGTCTTGTGACTCCCTGGAAATTGTACTGCCCACCCTCTCCTTCAAAAGATTGCATCAAAAGGGGCAACTGTGAATAAGTAAGGACATCCCTTTTTGACAGCTGCAACTGCAAAGCAGTCTTTTGTGGTTGGGAGGGAAGGGGCCAACGTGCCTAGAAAAGAGAGGTCATGAGCAGCTGTTGTGCATATGTGAGAGCGCTTGAAGACCGAAAATGGGAAATTGGAAGAATGCATTTTGGTTTTATGGCTGAAGTTGGGCTACAGGTGAAATTTGCTACAGAAAGAGCTAATCAGACCCAGAAAATGTGAAAGCCTGCTGTGTGACTGGTACTTAGGCTGAGAATGAATGCTGCCTGCTCTTGGTTTTCCCCTGAGATTGAATCAGGCTTGTGATCAGACAGATTAAGTCTGTGTGTGAAGGTTTGTAAACATTTATAGAAATCCCTAGGGTCCGAGTTGTACATTACAGAAACACTGTAAAAACGGATGATGAATTTTACCTTTCTGTTTCAGCCTAAATTGATTTCCGTGACCAGATTCTTAATTAGCAGCATGTTGCTTGCTTATTGCTTGAGATTATCTTCCTCAGGAGGGAAAAAGCTACTAATACAAGCATTGATCTTGCAGGCCATCTGCTCTAACCTGTCCCAGCACAGGCTCTTTCCCCCCGATGATGGCTGGAGAGAAAGAATGACTCTGCACACAGCCATTATACTCTCTCAGAACAGACCTGTGGGCAGCCTAGCACCTGTGGTTGTGCCATTTACGCCCCCATTTTTCTCAGCTCTGCTCATGCTGTGGGTGGACCGCTGGGCCTGGCGTGGAGCGTCTGTTGGAGAGGGGATGGTGGTGAGGAGGCCAGGGAAGGCACCTGAGGAGAAGATGGCGGTGTTTGCTCCCAGTGCTGAGGAGACGGGGCAGCAGCTAAGCTGCCTTCTAGCTGTGTTAATTTGGCTCCTCTTCAGTGCCAGCGAGGATAGGATTTGGTGAGGGGAAGGCCCTTGTGGTGGGGGAAGCCGCGTTGGGCTGGGTGGTGAAGTGAGGTGTTTCCATGGCGACAGAAAATGGCCGCCAGCCCGGCCTGGGCCGAGAGGCTGAGGGGTGCTGCGTGCAGGCCCTGGCAGCACCCAAACTCCCGCAGAGGCAGCAGACACCTGTCGCAATGCCAGGTAAACACAACTAGTGGCAAGAAATCCTTCTTTTTGAAATAGTTTTATTTGGAGAGGCTGCGTACTGCAGATGAGTGTCTCCACGAGCGCGTGGGAAGCGGGGGCGAGGCCTGAGCTCCATGCGGCTGCAGCCCGGGCTCCTCAGCTGTAGTATAAACTCAGGTATGCCACTCGGTCCCGGTTTTTGGTGAATTCCTTGTCTGTGGTCATCTGAAAGACAACTACCATCGCTTCAGAAAAGCGCAGGGAGATGTGCGATGGAGAACCTTAACCTATGTCTTAAATCAAAAAGGTTTTCTTTTCAGCAGAGCCACGTGGGGAAGTCTGCGCTCTGGTTCTCTCGCGTTGTGGATCAAAACTCCCAGATCAAATTTCTCAATAGAAGGGTTTTTTTGAAGGACTGTAACCGGTTTTGCAGAGCAGCATTTTCTCATAGAGAATCGCTGTGTACCTTGTGCCCCAGGCTAGTAAAGCCATGTCCCCAGTGGGCCAGTGAGGAAAGGATGACAAAACATAGCGCAAATGCATTGAAGAAACCATGTTTTCCTTCATCAGAACATTAAGCCAGGAATAATATCCTCTTAATTCTATCCTTACCTTCTGCACGTCCATTTTTACCATCCTCTTTGCTGGCTTCGGCGCTAAAGACCAGTCTGGAGAACCAAACTTCATCGGCCAAGTGATTTTTTTGTGTAATTGCTTGTCTGTTTTGTAAGTTCCAGGTCTAAAGAAAAGAGGCACAAAATATCTCATTTCTGGAGCTGGTGTGTGATGTTTGTAATACCGGAATTTACCAGCCCTATCTCAATCCATGGGAGAAATGCATGTTCTGGTATTCCAGTCGCCATGCTAAGTTAAAGACTAAAGCCAGGGAGCTTTTTGAAGATAAAAAAGCATTGCTAGGAAATCAGTTATCAATCTCCCATTTACATTAGTATTTTTCTCTGCTAGTACTCCTGCTTATTATTAAAAGTGGAAGAAAATGAGTTACATTACCCAGGGAAAAATTCTTTATCTGAAGGCTTATCTGGAAACCGTGGTGTCTTACTGGAAAACGGAGCATAGGCAGGTTGGCATTTTCTCTCTTTCTTCCAGGATGACTGGTACATTGCTGGGCTGGGAGTCACGGTCTGTGAGAGAGAAAATTTCTGTACAGAAGATTTTGTTTTGCAAACCATTCCTACGTGCTCTGATCAGCACCCAGCTGGGCCTTACAGACCCGCTCTTCAATGCAAGCTTTGGCTACTCTGATAGCGTAAAAAATCAGAATAAGTCAAATATGCACTTCCTACTCCTTATCTAGTGCATCCTGTGATGTTATTCTGGAGAAGTTGGGCCAGAAAACAGTGTGTTTTTTCAGGTTGTTTAATGGGCTTCCTCCCTGATTTTCCCTCAGTGTGTACATTTACACACGTGCGTATGTGATCCGAAGGAATGTGTGTATACAAACGCATCTGTCCATGTTGCCAGAGCTCATGGTCAGTCATCGGTCTCTAGGCTCAACACCTCTCACTAGACTATGCTAAAGGAGAGCTGTAGCTGCCGTATATATGAAGTTGGAGGCACCCCCAGCACGTGATTGAAACTGATGGTCTTTGCTGGGAACCACCTACACGTTCTTGCAAAGCAGTTCTGCCCCTTTGAAGTGTGCTTGTCTTACCTGTGGCTCTGGTATGAAACGCTGCGCTGTTCTCGCTCCTAGCACATAGCCTTTCTTGCTCAGTGGTTTGTTTTCCAAAGAGTATCTGAGGCTGTTTGTCTGCGATTCAAAAGCAGAAGTGTTGCGCTACTGACATTTTAAAGACACTATTTGCATAAGGGCAGAAGTACATGAGTAGCAGATGTAATTCCTGTTAATTCCTCTGATTTCTCACTAACGGAGTGCTAGGGCAGCTGGAGCTCTGAGAGCTGCCTCATTTGGAAGGGGAGGGGAATTTTCTAGGTATATGTGGAGACCTTGTACAACGGGTTTGTAGGGCAGGTGTAGGGCACCCCCGTGTCTGGCTGGCCATGGTTCTATTGCTCCTGTGCTGTGCGTTTTCTGTGAAGGAAAAGCTCTGAGCAGGAAGAACTGAACAGCTTACCTCTGGACTCAGGTAACAGCCTGGCCCAAGTGAAGGGTGTCCCGTGATGGTTGTCAGCTGGATTCCCAGCCTGTCTGGGGCGTGGTGGAGAGGGAACATTTTCCTCTCTTGGCATGACCCAAATGAGATCCGCTTCTGGACATCTGTGAGATCAGGAGAGAGAAATGTCAACAGTGGAGATGACCGTTTGTTGCATTTCTTCCTCCTTAAGTACTTGCTGATCTCTGCCTGAGGCCACCCATCCCCTTATCTCCCAGATGGGAATTTCCCTTGGCCCTGGATATTTGAGAGGGGTCTGCCTGTTTCTTCCTGCCACAAAGCTCCTTTTTCCCCAGCTTGCGCAAAGGGCAGCCCAGCTGTGGGAAAGCCCAGTGCCGATGGGGATCTGGGTGAGAAGGAAAGCCCTTGTGCCCGTACCCCCCCACCGGGTGCCCACACCTCACACGGCTCACCTTTCCGCTCCCTCTCTGCTGCCATGCTGCCCTGCCAGGCGTGGGATGTGTGTACTCTGGTTGCTATAGACACGGAGCAGTGCATGCTGGAGGGAATGCTGGCAACGGCAGCGCCTGAGGGTGCAGGGGAAAGAGGGGGATCAGTAACAGCTCTGTGGATTTCACCTGCCTGGCTCTCACTCCGAGGAGCTGCTGTTTGCACACTGTGAGTCAGTAGGGGAGAGGTCTATGGGTCAGCAGTCTGTGGATTGTGCTGTCAGGACCCTTCTCTGTGATCTCTCTTGTGATATAACCCGATGTGCCCCGTTGTCTGCTCTCCGTGTTTGTCCCTGTGCCTGGCTGGCATGGTACAGCAGCAAAAACACCCTGGAAAATGCCATACTGGAATTAAGTCCAGCTTGGGGATTCAGGCCCTTCCCTCAACACAAGTGTGTCATAAGAGATTCGGGGAGTATGAAAATACTAAGAGCGAGATGAGTGAAGCAGTGAGGATTGTTGCTTTTGCAGAACACTTTATTTAATGATTCTTATTCCAGGCAATAGGATCAGAGGGGTCTGTTTGCTGTAATCACATTTGTTGTTTTTAGTCACATTGTTATCTTCATGGCCAGTTGCAGCAGGAGCAGCTGGCGTCAAAGACGAGGCCATTCTGGCAGGTCTGCACAAAGGTTTCACCGTTAACGCAGTTGTAGAAGTTGCTCTTGTTGGTTGGATCTGCATAGATGCCGTTGGCCTTGCCAGCACAGAAACCGCTCCCACCACCGCTCCCTGAGCCTCCACTCCCACTTCCACCTCCTTGGCTAGGAGCTTCAGTGATGGGAGGATTGGGCTCAGCTGGAGGCACACAGTCTGAAATAAAAGCAGGAAAGGGCTTATTTTTGTGTTGACAGTCTCCCAGCCCTCCCCTCCCTTCATAGGCCCTTTAGTGGTGGGGTCAGCTATTAAAGTGATATTCCCCCAAAGTCTGGCCTGGCTCACACCAGGCCTTTGAAATGTCTGGACCCAGATCCAAGTTACAGTCTCCCCCGTTTGCCCCAGGGGATGTAGAGTGAAGGGATCTGTCCATGGCAATCCCTAGCTGTGACTTCCAAAGAAAGTCTTTATCCACCAAGGCTCCAGAGATACAGGTTTGTGAATCTCTGAAGCACTGCATCAGGAGTGAGCTGGAGGGTCCCCTTCAAGAAGCACATGCTACTCAAGAGACTCACTGCCATTTTGCAGACCAAGACCGTTCTTCAGGGTGGTGATCAGGGGAAATTTGCCTTCCTTGCAGAAGGTGCCAGTGAAGTCATCCATATCAAGGGCCCAAACCATAGCACCTCCAAAATTATTCTTTTTCAGCCAGTCAACCTGTTCAGAGCCGGGGAGAAATCCTGATTAGTCCCAGGCCACTGCAGGCGGCCTCCTGCCCTATCATCAGCACAGCCACACGTCCCACCATACCTTGATGTTGAAGCTCTTGATGTTGTCGTAGCCAACCCATTCGTTTCCCTTGTAGGCGTAGGGCACGTCCTGGGGTGCATCCCAAGCCTGGGTGGCTCCAGAGTCCAGGAAAGTGCAAATCTGAGAGAAAAGGGCAGAGAGGGAGAGGAGTTAGCAAGGTCCTACAAAAAAGGGCAGTTGGACTATTTCATAGGTTAAAAATTCC